AAGTCTTTCAAAGGAGGATTTACAGTCACAAACCTTATCTGGCTTGGAGAGCTGCCAGGCCGATGTTTGCAAAACTTGGCCAGGAGTTTCAGAGAGTCACGAACCAATTAAGCGAACTAATGGTCTCCTGCAAAGTCCACTCCCCTTTCGCTCCTCTTTTATTTCCTCTGGGAGGGGCCATTCACTGTCCACCTGTGGCCTTCCTCCCATCGACCCCTGTTCTTTAGCCGTTCCCTTCGTCTGGCAGCTCTGCGCATGCGCACACTGGGAACAGGCTCCAGCTGTGCTTCTGCCTCACTGATGTCTGACTCCGAAGGCAGCTGATAACTGTCAGACGGCCCTGGCCCCCTCTCTGCCTCCGACACAGAGCCCTCATCAGAGCCTTCCCCAGACTCCAGGACTGGCCCATCTTCCTCCCCAACCTCCTCACTGTCTGAATGTGCCATGAGTTCCGCTGGTCAGTGGCAGGCCAAAACACTGCCTACAATTTACCCTGCTAATCCTTCCATTCTTTTCTCCTGCTCACGTTGCATAAAATCGAAATTCCTGCAGAACGGGGAAAAAGTCGAAGCCTCAGCTGGGCTCCCTTTTTAAGCCCGAGTTCATTTATTTTTAATTAATCTTTTAATTAGCACTTAAGCGCTCTTTACAGCTATATTCATAAATATTTTAGCCCTGTTTATATCGTGTATACGTCTCGTGAAAATATTAACAAAATGCCACCTAGGCCGTGTGTGGAAAGACTTAAGCAGCCTTTTCTGGATCAATGACGGGGGGCAAAATGTTGAGCGATGCATTTAAGGAAAACCGATGGATTTTTCCCCCCCTTCTTCTTACTTTCTCGCCTCCTCCGTGCAGTTTTAGCACTGAGGCCTCTCGGAGCTCACTGTTGTTTCCAAAGGAGACTTGGAGAAGCATTTTCAACCCTAATTGAAACACTAATTTGAAAAGCAACAGGATCACACAGCCTGATGGGAAAATGAGGCTCCACAGGGAAGAAAAAGCCATTCTTAGCATATCCCTAAAGATTTTCTTCTTGAAAGGGATGTGATGGCTCAGTGGCTAAGACGCTGAGCTTGTTGATCAGAAAGATCGGCAGTTCAGCGGTTCGAATCCCTAGCGCCGTGTAACAGAATGAGCTCCCGTGACTTGTCCCAGCTTCTGCCAACCTAGCAGTTCGAAAGCAGGTAAAATCTGCAAGTAGAAAAATAGGAACCACCTTTGGTGGGAAGGGAAGAGCGCTCCGGACCCCTTCGGCCTTGAGTCATGCCGGCCACATGACCACAGAGAGGTCTTCGGACAGCGCTGGCTCTTCAGCTTTGAAACGGGGATGAGCACCGCCCCCTAGAGTCAAGAAGGAGACTAGCACCTATGTGCGAGGGGAATCTTTACCTTTTAAAGTTTTGTTGTTGTTGTTGTCGATTATGGCAACATCACCCTCCCTGAGCAAAAGTAAAATATCTGTTGGAATACATTTCAGTCCTCATCTTGCGACTGTTCATTTAGTGACCAAAGTTACAACAGCACTGAAAAAAAGTGACTTATGACCGTGTTTCACACTTACAACCGTTGCAGCCTCCCCATGATTTACGTTGGGATGCTTGACAACTGGCTCATATTTGTGACGGTTGAAGCGTCCCGAAGGTCACGTGATCCCCTTTGGCGACCTTCTGACAAGCCAAGTCAATGGGGAATCCAGATTCACTTGGCCACCGAGTGGACTAACTTATCTATTGCAGTGATTCGCTTAACAACAGAGGCAAGAAAGGTCATAGAATGGGGCAAAACCCACTTAACCAATGTCCCACTTAACAACAGAAATTTGGGGCTCAATTGTGCTCATTAGTCATGGAGTACCTGTAATTAAGGAGCCGAGAGGGCACAGTGGTTAGGGTGCAGTACTGCAGGCCACTTCAGCTGACTGTTATCTGCAGTTCTAATCTCACCGGCTCAAGGTTGACTCAGCCTTCCATCCTTCCGAGGTGGGAGAAATGAGGACCCAGACTGTGGGGGCAATTTGCTGACTCAATTTGCTAAAATCTGTAAACCGCTTAGAGAGGGCTGAAACCCGTATGAAGCGGTATATGTCTAATAAATAAATAATTAAATAAATAATTAAATAAATAAT